GGCAATGTGATAAGTATTTCTTTGCATGCTGAGTTGGAAACAGACACACACTCATATTTCAAAATGCTCATTTGTCTCTGGAGCCTACTTGGGGAAAGGGGCAAATGCATTATGACAATTCCTAGGATCTCACTGTTACACCTAATTGGAAAATGAGCCCTCTTCCCAAAGCACAAAATATAGAAGACTTATAATTAAAGGGCAAGGGTTCTCAAATAGCATTACTGATTTGCTTGTAATAGCTTGAGCTAAAGCTAATTGTATAAATCCTATCATTTATCTGCTGGGATAGTACAACAGCAAAAGAGTTATCTCTGCCTTCTGCTTTCCATCTATTTCTGTCCTATCCATCTGCTTTAATCAACCAAAGAACTTATAACAATTTGGTATTCCCAGCAAAGGCTTACTCCTGTAGTTCAGGTGCTTTGTTCAGTCACTCATTCTACAATGCAAACACCCTGAAACTCCATTAGATGATGGGAGGGAGGAAGTTGAGAGCTTTTGTAAAATCCAGCTCACAGTCATCAGATGCTATCAAATCTGCTTTATCTTCACAGCTTTCTCTTGTGTGTTGATATTGTATATCAGGTCAAGCTTAATTACTATTGTATTTCTCACCAGGACGATTAAACAAATTGAAATAAAATGATGAAATGCTTCATGGGAAACTTTCTCTTTGAAAGATTAAAAAAAAAGACCATTATATATGAGTTCCTTCAATTACCATCATTCTCATGATCTGAGGTCTGGAGAAAACATTTGATTAGCTTGCCTATTAATGTCAATTAGGGCTACTGTTGCTTTTCAACCAGAAACTTGAAAGGCCACTTTCAAATTTTAGCAGGGTCAGCTTCATCTGTCAATGTAGATTTTTAAACTTGATTTTTTTTTAAAGAGCATCCCTTAGGAATTCCTTTTAAATAGAATATGATTTCCCGCCTGCTTGGTTTACATTTGTTAAATCCATAGTACAAAAAAACAACTATTCAGTTAGAAGCCAGTGAGGAATTAGGTTTTTCCCAATTACTTATCCTGGTACTCTCTTTAATCTTCTGCCACTGATATCCCCCAATATGGGCTTCTCTACACCAAGGTTCACAGCAATGCCCTTTGTTGTTGATGGACCCTAAAACCATTCTAGATATCTCAGCAGTAATGTCTTATCAATGTCAGCTGACTCCAAAGCATTTAAAGGGGATAAGGGTACTTGAAATTTTCATTTGCTCCCGTTTGAGAGCACAGTATGGTGAAAAGAGCACTGGTTCTACAGTTTGAAACCTAGGTCCATTTCTTTTTCTTTTGGTGCTTACTGACTATATGGCCTTAGGCAACTTAATCTGTCTTGGCCTCAGTGTTTCCATCAGTAAAATGAGGCTGTCTGATGAGAGGATTTCTGAGGTGCATTCCAGATATCAACTTATGATCTTGTGAATCTATAATCTTTGACCCACCTTGTCCTGAGATGAAAAATATTTCAACTGTGACTTTCCAACTCTTCCAAACCACAATCCTTCCCCTTCTTTTAGGATCCATTCTTTGGATCAAAGCTGAAAGCGACCTGAATTTAGCTGAACATCTCCATTTTACAGATGAGGAAACTGAGGTCCACAGATTTTAAATAAATAACTTTCTAATAGCTAGTAACCATGAGAAATGGGATTCTCGACTATGACCTCTGACTCTAGATCCAAAGTTCTTTCTCTTACCCACAGTGACATTATTAAAAGCAGATCATCTGCAAGTATATCGGACTTAATATTCATAGTGGCTTTGAATCCATCAACTTGTCAACAGAATGGAGGTCAGTGTTTGGAAAAGGGGAGGGGAGAGCCAATGGTAGGGCTTCTGATGATGGTAGGGGTGGCAGAAGTTATAGACTGATCCACACGTAGACATTTACATTTAGTCCAAGGTTCCAGAGAAATCAAGCAAGACCTCCAATATATTGAATAAACCTTCTATGGCAAAATTAAGGGCAGACATGGACAAGAGGCCCACTGGATGGGCAGACATGGATGATATGGGATCTGCATCATGGCAGGAGACATCAACATTGATGAGATCACAAATTCATCCTTCAGACATATACATTCCTTTCTTATTTTAATGGGCCTCCACAGGCTCCTTGAGCTAACTTTTTATCGACTGGGACCTTGGGGCACTTTGACAAGACATTCTTAGGAACTACATTTTTTTTAGGAGTGGGTATAGATGGTAGAGGCATATAGGGCAAATCTTTAGGAAGACAGCTGATAGGTTTACCTGAGCATAAACTTGGCAGAACAAAGTAAATCTCGCTGACCCTCACTCCCCTCATTTATGCTTTGCTATGTTTGAAGGTGAGATTGTTTTTTAGTGGATTCAGTCAACTCTATGAAATCAGCAAGAAATGTAATTATAAAGCCCAAATTTGTAAGCTTGGCCCAAGAGAAGAGATGAGAAAATATACCTTGGTTCCTTCTTTGCAGAGGTGGTGAATTAGGGGTTTGGAACATTAAATACACTGTCAGACTTGTTATTGTGTTGGTTAGATTTGTTGCACTGCTCTTTTCCCTTTTTTAATCATTCATTCATTCATTCATTTATTAATTCATTCATTCATTCATTTACTGTTCCTTACAAGGATGATTCCCAGAGGGAGGATAGGAGAAGGATGTATTTAGAAATTAAGGTGACAAAAAGTAAAAGATATCTGCAGCAAAATTTCACCTCCAGAATTTTAATAGCTTTGTTTGCACAATATATGGCCTTAGGCGATTCATCCTCCCATCAGTGATCTCATTTGTTTTTCACCACATCAGAGAGAGCCAGGTAGGACAGGTATTGTTCTTCCCATTTTATAGATGAAGAAATTGGGATGCAGAGAGACTGTGACTTTAATTATTCATGGTCATATTTTTTTTTTTAGCAGTGAGATGATAAAGTAGAGAAAGTGCTGGTCCTAAAATGTATGACCACTGAGCTCAAATCAGGCCTCAGATACTTACTAGTTATATGACCCTAGGCAAGTCACTTAATTTCCACGTTACCTATAAAATGGGGATGATACCATCTACTCCCACAGCTGTTTTAAGGGTTAGATGAAAATATATTTGTAAATTGCTTTCAAACTTTAAAGTACTATATGAATACTAGTTGTTATTATTATTAATATTATTATTATATGACCAATTATGATAGAGCCAGGACTCAAATCTCAATTTAGTTTGTCTATTTTTCCACTATATTAGAAAGCCTATGCGTGACCTACAACGACCCCACCCTACACATCCCTCTCAAGTTATAGTGTCTGAAGTTATATGTCTAGAACTACTGTATGCTGATTCTTTCTCAAAGGATGCTGGGAATTAACTACAGTCTTCCATGTGAATGTAAGAGTGAAAAACAAGTGGGAAAGGTTGATTGAGTCTAATTAAAATAGTACATGAAGAATGCTGCCATCAGCAGCTTAGCTACTACTCTCCAGGGCATTAAGTCCAGAAATTTTTCCAGAGGAAATACTTATTCATGTCAAAATTTTCACAGAAACAACCAATAACTAAATATGTTGTTCTAAATGAAAATAATCAAGCCTAGATCTCTAGCCTGAGTCACTCTAGGATGTATCTATTAATCCAAGGAAGACTGCAAATATGTAATGACTCTTTCAGATGATCACCGTTATTTCCTTTGACAACTGTACTATATATTACCAGGGTTGATATGCTGATCCTACAGAAAGGAAAGCTGACCTGCAGAATCTTGTGCTTTATTACTCAATGGTCACCTGGTGAGGTGAAGGAATGATGACCATATATAACAGTAGCAGTCATTTACAGTGCTTTAAAATTTAAAAAGCACTTGACTTACAGTGCCTCTTTTGGGACTTACTCCAGCCTTGTGAGGTAGATACTATAGGTATTGTTAGTCCTATTTTAAAGATGGGGAAGTTGAGGTTCAAACACGTTGCCAAACTTGTCCATGATTATACAATTAGCATGTCAAAGGTGGGATTCAAGTCTAGGTGTTGCTTGACTCCAAATTCTGTGCTCTTTTATCTATATCCTATGCATGGGCAGAGCACTTCTAGGAGAGGTCAATTTCAGGACTACTGAGGCTCTGGTTATGAATAGGTCAAGAAGAAGCACACAAATATGCCATCGTATTTCTTACTATCTTTAGCTTCAATAAAGCTGGGTATAAATATACACAATATATATCTACATATATACACATATACACATTTGTATGTATATATATATGCATATGTAGTTGTATATATATGTCTATTTGCATGTATTTGTATATATACACAGACATATATGTATATATTCAGCATAGTGCCTAGTATATATAGTAATTAGTGCTTAAAAATGCCTATTTGTTGAATGATCGATAACATCAAGAAACATTGGCTAATGTTATATATTTAGTCTAATAGCTTTTAGGTTATATGAATGATAATGTCAAATTTGTGGAGGTTTTCAAAGAAAAGAGCAGAATAGAAGAAAAGAATGAAATCTAGACTGATTATTATAAAGACTTGTTTTAAGGTAAAGATATTCTTCCAAGATATTCTGACTTTAGGCTAAATGTCCATGGTCATTTTAATTTATAAAACCCAGTGTTGAAAAAGTCCAAAAATTCTTTGCATACTTCCTGTCTCCAATGCGCCCATTGCTGTTTGATGGTTATGAAGTTGTATCAGGTTACCAATCACAATTTAGTTTTTCACTTATCAGTTTGACACCCATTATGAAGTGTCCCTGTCAATGGGATTTTCTGGGTAGACCCTCTTGCCATATCTGTTAGTCTTCAGTGCAAATTCTTTTTTTTTTTGTTAGTCTAGCTTTTGTTAACTCCTGTAGAATAGCCCCCAAATTTCATATTTCCAGTGTTCCCATAAGGCACTTATTTCCAGAATTCTTGGCAGTTAAAGTCTAAGATGAATGTAAAAAGACTTCAGGATTAACCAATTAATAATTAAAACTAATCCAATGGAATCTCATCTGCATACTTACCATTAAGTGTGCTTCTGTCTATCAAATTTGTGTCAACTGGCCAATAACCTCCATCTCCATGACGACCTGTTAAATGAGAAAAGACTTCAGAAAGCTTACAGCAAAGAAAACACAAAAACAAAAACTTGAACAAGACCAGACTGGCCACTTCAGAAAAAGCATGATAAATTCAACTATTAGTGCAAGAAAAGAAAAAAAGTCTCTATCTCTCTGTCTCTCTCTGTCTCTGTCCTCATCTCTGTCTGTCTGTCTGTCTCTCTCTCTCTCTCTCTCTCTCTGTATGTATAAAACTGTCATAAAACAGACTATTTCTAAGGAAGCTGAATTTCCATCATTTAAGAAGCTTGACATTTTTTCCTTTTCAGCTGTGCTCGTTAAAGCATCACCAAAGGTAGGGTTGCTATAGTAATCAGAATGTCTCTTCTGAACCTGCCAGGACTGACTGAATGACAAGGTCACACCTCCTGGGGCAGGTGAAATGGCAATCATCTTCTTACCACCAACAGCTTTAGTTCATTGCTGGTTGCTAGTCGACATTTCTTGAGAGGAAGTAAATTGTCATTATTATTCAACAAAGTGACAGCACATTTTTAGTCGCTCGGTTTGGAGAAGCCTCTTTTTTATGTGCCACACAAGGTGAGTAAAATTCTGTATTGTATGTGGAATAAGGGAAAAAATGAAGCTAACACCTGGCATGTTCTCATCATTCCTACAAGTTCACCAGGAAGGGAAGAAAATTTGAACTGCTTTAATCAGTGTCTCAGAATGGACATTTTTCATTAATGGCTGAAATAGATTTGTGTAAAAGTGAATGGAGCAGCTGTCTAACCACCTTCCACCTGGGATAAGTGAGCCTTTACTATGAGTAATGTTTATTTCATTGTCTCTCCCACTGGTGCATTTGTAGCACACCTGCCATTGATTATCATCCCACAGGATCAGATATTGGGTTCCCAAATAATATCCTGGTAACATCCATTTATAGAAAGATAAGAGGAATGATTGACATTTGAATTATCCTATACATTCTTACACATACCCATGCCCACACAAACATATACACACAGAGCAAATTGATATTTTTTCCGTTAATATATCATCTGCAGAGGGTAGATATGTCTTGCCAATATTTCAGCTAAAAGAAATCATAACTGCAAAGTTTGTAAGATATTTTATATTCTCATTTGAGCTTTACAACCCTATGACAGAGGGCTAGTTTTAGAGTCAGGGAGACTGGCTATATTACAATGGGCAAATCATTTAACCTCTATGGGCCTCAATTTCCTCTTTTGTAAAATGGGGATAATTATACCTACCTCACAGAGTTACTGTAGTGATGAAATGAGATATTATACGTGAAGTGCTTCCCCTGCTATAATACTAAATAAATGTCAGTTACTAATATTATTACTATAGCTATTGGTCCCATTTTTTAGATGAGGAAACTGAGGCTCAGTGATATTAAATGACTTGACCGTAGTCTCACAGCTTGCAAATGACTAAAGTGAGATAACGAATCAAATTCTATTCAACTACGAATACAAAGCTCTAGCCACACTACTTCCTAGGAACCATGGAGAATATTAGTAGCATACAAAGGCAGCATCATTATTTTAACAGCAAAGCTCTGAGTAACATTTTTTTTTGAAGAGGGAGTGGTGGGGCAAATAAGTTTGGGAACCTGTGGCACTAGGCACACCAGAAGACAAATATTATATACCTTGTGGTAGACCTCCAAGACCAATAAAAAATAATCAGATTAGGAAGTCTCTGTTGCTTACTTGAACCACGACAGATTCTGTCTGAGGCCTGTGGTCAACCAATTTTAACTGTAGCCTGACTCTGTGTTTCCTATATAAGGATCTGTCAGAAATGGCTTGTATTGAGAGACCTGTTTACCCTTAAAAATCCTTTTCTCTCAAAAGGTAGCTCTCTCTGTCTTGACTTGTAATAATGGATGAAACATTGACTTATACCCTAAATTATAAACAGAGGGGTTCCTTTCCATGACAACTGATATTAAATGAATGTTCTTTATGTCGAGTTTAATGAAAATGTTCATTTTTCTCCTACAAGAGCTAAAATAGAAAAAAATGAGCTGAAGTCATGGGATATTATTAGATGATCAGTGGTCAGAAATTAAAATACTTTAAAAAGAAATTAGAGGAGATATATAAAAAATGAATTTTAAGAAATTTTCTTTAATGATTCTAAAAGGAATTCTAAAAGGCAGTGGGAAGAATCACTTTTAAAAGTCCTCAGGCTTTTCTAGCACTTTTCAATCCACTGCTCAGCATATATTCAGCTATTTTTTCTATGTAAATTTTTTCTATGTAATTTTTTTGTGTAAAGAAAGGATAGACAACTAATTGTAAGAACAGCAGAACCACATATATCACAAAGCATGTTTGTTTGACCATTTTCCACTAGACTAATTTCTATTTCCAGTGCATAATTTCATATTTGTTGTGAATACTTTTGAGGCGTTTGTTGTATGGGTTAGATGTGATCCTGTGAGCGTTAGCTTGCATAAGTGGGCAAAAGTGGGTGCCTGTCTGCTTGGATAAGTTGGAAGAATGATATGGGAAGAATGAGTAAATGATGAATACTTGTTAAAATTGTCTTTTTTTGTTTTCTCATACCATTTGCAAGATTGAATTTAGGCATTCATTTAACAAGACGTCAGCTGAATACATGAGGTATTGTTAGATGATCAGTGGTAAGAAATACAATGCGAAACAACAGGAATAGGGACTAAACCTGTAATTTCATTGATAGTGTGAATTCCTAGATGGGAACTTCTTTGATGAATGCATATATTAAAATCTTAGAAAATATGCCTACAGCACTGAAAAGTTAAGTGACTTGTCCAGAGTTACACATATAGTATGAGTCAGATATAGGGCCTGACCTGAGATCTTTCTAACTCTGAGTCCCAATCCCTTTTCACTCTGCCACATAGCCTGCTATGAGAGAAATGGAAATATAAGCCACAAAAATGATGAGATTGGAAATAGTCATCCAAAGGAAACATTGTAAATTCCATCTTATAGGATAGCAGTTGAGAGAAATATGCTATTGGTTAAAAAATTAGGTAAATGGCCTAACATATTTTTTAACTCTAGTATTTGGGGAAAAAATTTATGATGATTTAAAATCTTCCTTTATACTTATATGAGTAAGCAAGAACTGGTTCACAAACACACAACTATATTTAAGCACCAAGTTTGGCTGTCATTAAATTTTGTAACTGTCTATAGTGCCAGCAGGTGGCCATATACATAGGTAGTCTATAATGTTGGTTGAACAGAACAGAATTGAATGAGGCGAGAAAATGCCCATTAGAACTGGAGATGTTGTGGAATAATGTGTTTCAATAAATAAAGTAAAACTAGGTATGATGTAAGTATATTACTGGCTAAGATCAGCCATCCATGAAAATGTTTTTGAAATGAATGAGGTTAGCTAATTACCCTGCTTTTATACACCAGTGTATTAAAGTAGTTTAATCCAGTGTATTAAAATACTTTAATTTTTTGGTTAGTAGTTGTTATATTGCTAAGAAGAAGAACATAAAATAACAACTAATCTAACCAAAAGTAATTTGATAAAACCCAATGTCATCAATCATTAAGATTCAATTTATAATAATTATTTAGTTTTCTTGTAGCACTAGGGAAAGTGAGTAATAAGCTATGGCTTCCAAGGGTGCTGCTGAACTTAGGACTTTTGGTCTAAAGTAAGAGTTGACAAATTAGGCCTGTAGTCTTTTTGTATAAGGCCTGCAAACCAAGAATGAATTTTACATTAAAAAATATTGTACTTAAAAATGTTAAAAAAAAACAAAAACAAAAACAAAAACACACTATTCTTAGCTCATGCCAGGATGTATGAAAGCCAGAAGATTTGGCCCTTGGGCTATAGACTCCTGCTCTAAAGGACTGTGAATTAATTTTTCTTAGGTGTGTGTTACTGGTATACAATCATTTGTTTGCAGTTTTAAGAACTTTAGGACGCATCAGATTGGCAGAAAAAATGACAAATTAAAGGCGATGTGAGAAAATAGGAACAATAAAGCAGTCTTTGTGGAGCTATGAACTAGTCCAACCATTTTTGAAAATAATTTGGATCTATGCCAAAAGGGCTATACAATGGTGGATATCCCTTGATGCAGCATTATTAGTTATAGGTCTATACCCCAAGGAGATCAAAGAGAAAGGAAAAGGACCCACATGTGCAAAAGTATTTATAGCAGCTATTTTTGTTGTGGCAAAAAAAACTGGAGACTAAGGAACTGTTCATCAGTTGGGGTATGGTTGAACAAGTTATGGTATATGAATGTGATAGAATATTATTGTATTGTAGGAAATGATGAAAAGGAAATGGTTTCAGAAAAAAACATGGGAAGTCATATAAATTGACTCAAAGTCAACGGGGAACCAGAACAATTTATATAGTAACAACAATATTGTAATGACAATCAATTTTGAAAAATTTAATAACTTTTATCAATACAAAATATCTCTAGAAATAGCCATAGCAAAGGGCTCTGGGTTTGGGCTTTTAGCTGAAAGAGTATGAAATTGTCTAAACTTTCCATTCTGATAGATTTTAGTGGTTTCGATTTATCCATTTTTTGCTCTAAACTGCATACAAATAACAAACACATATGTATACATATATTCTAATTCTCAATGTATTCTGAAAATTACATGAAAACAGTCCATTAAATGAATTGGAGATAAAAATCACTTAAGCTTCCTAGTTCATCCTGACTTTGAAATTTGTCATTTTAAAAATCGTTTCCTATTAAATTCATCGCAATTTTCACGTTTACTTTTAGATTTGGTGGCATTTGTTCATTCATTCAGATACACTCATTGATTTCACAAATATTCATTAAGCAGAGACTTCATCTAAAGTAAAAGAGACAGCTTGATGTAGTAGAATAAGAACAAGCCTCAAAGCCAAGAAGACTTTAATTCAAGTTCTGCTTCGGATATATGCTGGCTGTATAACCCTGGACAAGCCACTTAACCTCTAAAAGTTTTATGTAAATTTCTAAG